TTAACATATTTTTGCCTTGCATTTTTTTGTATTAATATTGATCTTACGTATCGCACATTTGAAACTTCTTTGGGCTTTCATTTTTATTTTTATTACTATTAATTTTGGTATATTTTTTGCGTATTTTGCAATACGTTTTATTTTTTTAAAATGATTATATACTAATGTATCTAGCAAGTTTATTATGTTTGAATGCATTAAATGCTCTGAAAGTATTGGCTGAAATCTTGTTAAAATATAAGAACTTAAAGCAGCACTTGTTAAAATTTACGAATTTTTGTGAAAAGAATCTGCTGTCATATTAGAGATAGTGGTAATTTTCCGAAAATTCAGCAAAATTGTAAAAGCTTCACAGCTTAAGTCTCGAAAGCGTAGAACTACTCTAAAGAATTTTTCAAGAAAATTTAAAGGTTTTGGTTTATTTAATTATGTGAAACAAACGAAGGCTATTCGCCTGATGGGAGGGATACCTTCGTGGAGGATTTTCCAAGGAAAACTGGCTCGTATACACGCTACACAATAGTAAAACCACGAAAACTCCCAAGCAGCCAACCCGTTTGCCGGGATTCGAACCCCGGACCAAAATACCAGTGTTCAACGATTTTACAGCTCGGCCGCTGGTGGGCGGAAAATGCGAAGGAAGGATTTAAAACAGTAGTCCCAAATACATAGAACCATTTAAAAAATAATCCAGTGGCGGGTACTTGATTGTTCAGCATTGGCCAGTCCTACGGCCAGAAGTGGTGACCAATTTATTGTGGAGTTACCTAATATGTAGCTACCGCTACCTCCTAGTAACGGGCAGTTCGAACCATGTTCCCTTCACCTGGATTCGAAACTGGAACTTTCGGCACCGCAGTAGGTCCCCTACCACTATACCGTCTGGGCGGCCAACTTATAAATGTAATTCTTTCAAATCGCTCAATTTATGCAATTCTGATACGGAAGTTAAATTAAAGACCTTATTTTCCATGGCAACATTATGGAAATTAGCTGTTTGGCTGAAGTTATTTGGATGTTTAATGTCATGTCATCTTGAAGTAACGTCATGTTTGAGATAAATGTCTCAAGTATTTAGAACGTTAGTAATTTTTTATAAATTTAATCCATTAAAGATATTTCTAACATCAAAAGTGTCGAAGGCGTGGTTACAGAAAGAATGTTTTGAAGTTTGTAGAAATAATCAACTGTGATATTACTTCTTTCCACAGTATGCAATGCAAACACCGGCATTAAAAAGAAACAGATTATAAATAAACAGAAAGAAGAATTGAGATGAAAAGCGAAACCCAAGGAGTCATACGAAAAATACGTGAAAAAATACGGAGGCGTTTAAAAGGAAATATTTAAGTTAGCAGAGTGAACAAACATGAAAGCAGATGGAAATAATAATCAGTGGAAATGGAAAAAGGAACGGAACTGTAGAAAATATACAATCAACAGGGGCCGTAGAGTCACGCATTTAATCGTGCTCTGCAGCACAAATGCAGGTAAACAGAGTACAGAATAAAAATCAGGCATATAAAAATAATAAAGAGATATTGATAAAGAAATGGGGAAGCATCTCAAACAGGCTATCCAAAGAGGAAAAGCGTAAGAACATCTGAAGAACAAGGGCAGGAAAAAATAAGCGAAACCAGAGATATGATCAAGGGCATTATGAAGGAATCACAGTAACGCAAGAAAACCACGATAGCACGTTGCGATGAAATATATGTTTGCTGATATTTTAATAAAATAATTTTTAAAAAACATGTCCACCTACAGAAGAATTTCATTGAAACTGTATTTAAACATTTTGGATCTGGACTTGCAATGTAGTCATATCTCTCATATTAAGATTTAATTTCAAATGAATTAGCATTGACTTTGAACGATTCTTTTAATAAGATACAATAAAAACGATCAGTCTAAATAGGAAATGGTTCTTTATAGAATGCTCACCATTTGTGGAGGTATTATCTCGCAAGCAAAAGAAGTAACATATGTAATACCATTATTAAGAAATCTACCAACAATTCAAAGAGCTTCGCAAGTTTTATTCTATTCAATATCTATTATTCAGTCTCTTAAAAATATATTTCCATGAGTTAAATTTCCTTTCCAAGAATGCGCAATACATTGCGGTAAGAAATAAAGAATTACTTGATAAGAATTAAGTAACAACACTATTAAATATTGGTTTGGAAGCTTTCGACCTTATACCATAGATAGAGGTTGTTATCTTCATATCTCGGTACGTTATTATTTACATATATATATGTGTAAGATTAAAAAATATGTAACTCAAAATTATAATTCAAACTAACGGTAAAACTTTAATTCTCCCTCTATGTTCTAAAAATCGTAATAACTTCTCTGGCTTGCGTTATTTCTAGATCATTCCATTTTGCATGGCCTGCGCAGCGCTGATGACATAATAATTGAGAACTGAAACTTAAACAAAAACCTTTCTCTTCTTGTACTATCATATTGAATAACTACGCGCGTTTTGTCTCTCCTGCTTAGACGGTGATGGAATTAAAACTGCCAAGTTTTTAGATATTGCGAAATCAACATATTAGCATACTACGCAAACGGAATGCTTCCTCTTCAATATGGATCTACGATCTATAATATCTAGGTATTATGCATCGCTTCTACTCCGTCTTTTCCTTGCTATTATATATATATATATATTCGCTCCTATAACTCGTCCGCCTTTTTCCTAATCTGGCACAGACAGCAGCGAGATCTTTTCAAGCTGCGGAGGAAATCGACAGACTGCATTCCGATGAGGTTAGAAAACGTGATAGATGCAGCTGAACTATGCCGCTCGAAGATGTAATTCCGTTTCACACGACGATCAAACTTTTTATCTTACTTCCTTTCACTATGTACATACCATATCATTGTATTCTTTCAGCATTAAAATACCCTTAAATGTCACTGCCTTCCTCTATTTAATCTAACCTCATCCTACATGGGGGCTCGCCCCACGAACTCTTTCGACGCTTAACTAAATTCTGTTCTCTCTTCAGTTTTTAATCCCTAACTACCACCGAATTAATATCAATGATGTACTACTGTGAATAAATATCGCAAGATCCCGTTTTGTGATTCGCCAGCACGTAAATAGCAATTTATTTGATGAAGTAATGCTAATCAGGAGTAATATTCTTTCAGTTATCATGAATATGATGACGCCTTTTTATGAAGTTTATTTGATGACGCGAAAGGCATTTGATTTTGATGAAATTCAGTTTTTATTTTTGAATGATTTTTACTTTGAAGAATTAACACTTCCGTTTTCGAATTTGATGTTGATGATAATTAATTAAACAGTTTTGATGAAGTTTAATTGAATAAACTAAAGGTATTTGACTTTGATGAAAATACATTACTGACTATTTACAGAATTGTGATATATTAAAAAAGTTACTTTGAAGCAGTACTTTCGTTTTCGAATTTGGTGCATAAATTTCTTATTTCTTGTGATGCCTATATTTTACTAGGACTGTTGAACATTATTTTAAGTTATTAATTTTGATATCAGATCTTAACGTGAAATTTTATTTTCCATTCTTAACTTATACGAAGATTTGTTTGACGATATATTTTACTATTTGTTTGAATCATATGTTCACAATTTCATTTATGATTTTTGAGTGTTTTAACATCATAGTTATTGTGTAATATACTAAGAAGAATTAATATTATTTTGAAGAATATGAAAAATTAAGAGTATATTTTGGTATACTAATTTCTGAAACCAGATGAATAACATTTAATAAAATCGAAACATACATATTTTGTGAATTTCATATTTGGTAAAAACGAAACTGATAAATAATGGCTACACTTAACGATTATCCCAACATTGCACAATCATTAAACACTGCCAGTACAAGCACATCAAGCTTTTTACATCGTTTAGTTTTTGGCTCAGATGGTGATCGGCAGAATATCGTGCTAGGTTACGGAATTTTTTTCTGGTTTTCCCAACCATTTAACTTTGAAGATACGAAAAAAAAAAAATTATCAAAGAACTTTCTCTCACAGATTTTAATTGCCATATGCAACTTACTATATTTAGAATTTTCCACCCATATTGAAAACTGTGCTAACAATATTCTTACGAATTTAACTGATATCGTTATTAAAATCAGATTTCGCTGACTACAGCGACCTTGAAGAAGACGCCTTTGGTGCAAAGTTCACCCTCGACGCGTAGCGTCGCCGAAACGAACATTAATCACGCTCCAGATGACTCGTTATGTAAACAAATGCAGACAAAAATCTCTCTTGAAAGCGCGCCTGGAAATTTATTGGTATCAACTAACCCGCAAACACAGAACTGTTCCGGTTTCAATGTTTTGGCTTAAAGGACATTGTTGATTTGATCCAACCCTTTTCCTCTCTCGGGATAATTACAGCGTCGAAACTTTTATTTCTGACATAGAATATATTTTTAATCTCTATGAAATCACGAATCCTGTACACCAAGTAATTTTTGTTAAAAAATGTCTTACCGGTCCAGCTTTAACTTTAATAAGATCAATTCGTGGAATTACTAATTGGGAACAATTAAAACACCATTTATTAGATGAATTTTTGGAAAAAATTAATAGCCTTCAATTACATAAAATAATGGAATCTCGTCACATGAAAACATCTGAAACCTTACAAGAATATTTTTTAGCTATGAGAGACCTCGCATACAAAAGTTCTATGGATGATTCTTCTTTGATTGAGTATGTGATACATGGTATTCCTGATTCATCAAACAACAAAATAATTTTATACGGTTGTAAATCCATTCCTGAATTTAGAGAAAAACTGAAGATTTATGAGAAACTCTTTAACAATTCAAAAAGTTTGAAGCAAAATACTCCAAAGAAATTTACAAATTCCTTTCCCAATGTTAAAATTGATGCTAAACGTACATCAAATACACAGCCAGTTTGTTATTCTTGTGGTTTAAAAGGTCACAAAAGCAATACTTGTCCTAATGGCAAATTATGTTATGGCTGCCAAATTATAGTCACATTCATTCTAACTGTCCCAAACGATCTGGTAGTTCCATCACGGAATCTGCTCCTAGTTGTTCTACATCTGATAGTACTGTAAATGCACTTTCCACCCAAAATTTTTCTAAAAATCCTATGCATGTTGATATTCAGCTTAAAGGAACTCAGTTAACTGCTCTCTATGACACTGGATCACAAACAACACTTATTACGGAGAAAACATACCGCAAAATTGGTTCTCCACCATTACATCCTTCCAGAATTACATTCTCAGGACTTGGCCGAGACACAGTTAAAAGTATTGGATTCCTTCAAGACTACATTCAAATTCAAAACACTATTTTACCTGCTAAAATACATGTAGTAAAAAACTATATGATTCCTCTTGATGCCATTATTGGAATAGACTTTTTGCAACAAACTCGATTTACATTTGATAAAGACGGTATTCATTTATGCAACAATAATAATGATCAAATTTTTGTTAATGTCGCTAATGTTACTCATGATTACACATTTCCACCTAATCTTTCACACATCCCAAAATCGGAAATTTTCCAACAAGTTCAACATATCATTACTCCTCACAACCCACATGAAGTTAAAACTGCTATGGAAGATTTTCAGAAAATAACAGAAAGTGAAAATCAGTTGAAGAACACAAGTAAGGAAAATAATGATGATGCACATGACGATTCAGAATTGGATTTAGATGATGACAATTTGGATTTGGATGATCACGATGACAAAGATGATGCTGATACCAATCATGGAGCTCATGACGATGATGTTGATGAAGATGGTGATGACGCAAACGACGACATTGATCAAGATCATGATATTGATGATGACGACATTCATAACGCTAATGGTGCTGCTGATGATGATAGCACTCATGAAGCTAATGAAGATGATATTAATGATGTTGATCAAGATGACGTTGCTGTTGTTGATGAAGATCATGTCAATGAAGATGATGTTGATGACTGATGACAACGAAGATGATGATGATGACAGTCATGAAGCTAATTGTGATGATGATGTCGATAATGATCCAAACGTGCAGAATAATGAAGAAACTGTGAAAAATAAACTGAATCAATTTCAACAAGCAGGTGCTAATCAAGAAAACGAGAAAACACCTGCTAAAAGTGCAGAAACTCTCAAAGAACAGAGAGCCTGGAAGTATAAACGAAGAAAATTTAAACGAACTTCAAAGACAATGAAATTGCTGACACAGCATGATGATGAAAAAGCTGCATTATGCATTGAAGCCCAACGGAACCTCCTTCGTTTACAGCAAGCACATATAACGACAGTATAAGAAACGTCGCAAACCTGCCTCCAAATATAAACTTGGACACCAAATGACAATCCAGCCTGAACTGAAACTTCCACTTGGACTGAATCTTCGACTTGAACTGAAACTTGGACTTCAACTTCGTCCCAAATTATTCGGTCTTTATGAGACAGTACATTCCTCTGATTATTACGAAGCACAAAAGGTACGCCATGAAGGAACCATTATGATGTCAACCTGTGCTGATAAGATGAACCGGTGGTGCACAAAGCTAACATTCGCCACCTGGACGTTGATTTTTTTCACTTTCTCTGCTTTTTATTTATTTATTTTTTCTTTTCAGATCAACCCCCAGGCGAGGACGCCCGGCAAGGCAGAATGGCCGTGTGGTAATTCGCTCCTATAACTCGTCCGCCTTTTCCTAAATCTGGCAACAGCGACAGCAGCGAGATACTTCTTCAAGCTGCGTGAGGAAATTGACAGACTGGCATTCCGATGAGGTTAGAAAACGGTGATGGATGCAGCTGAACTATGCCGCTCGAAAGATGTAATTCCGTTTCACGACGATTCAAACTTTTTATCTTACTTCCTTTCACTATGTACATACCACAATCATGTCTATTCTTTCATCATTAAATACCCTTAAAATGTCACTGCCTTCCTCTATTTTAATCCTAACCTCATCCTACATATATATATGAAATATTAAAAACACAAGGAAAGGCCGGAGCAGTGTCGATGCGTGCTTAGATCCATACTGAAGAAAAATTTTGATTGTGTAGTATGCTAATAATGTTAACTTGGTAATATATAAAGAACTTGTCAGTCGAGGCAGTTTTAGTTCCATTTTTATTTGCAATTGATAATTTATGGCCACAGTCACTTGGCACTCTAGTCGTGCCTTTCCCACAGAAGATTTACATTTTTGATACTGTTGAGATAAAAAGCAAGCCAGCGAAATTACATCTTAGCACAATAGAGAGCAAAAGCTAAAATGCGTGTTATGCAAGATGGAAGCACGCGAAGAGAAAAGTTTTGGTTTGCAATTTGTGATTGGTCAAGAGGCATCTGCATTAAGGGCTACGTAAGACCGCATGATTAATTTGAATGACGCAGTTTAGATTTAAGCGCTATTTTTAGGACAGATAGATGAAGTTCCCAAATGAAATGGAAAATAAAAGAGGTTATAGTGAATTGAATTTAGAAGTTTGCTTTCATATTTTTTATCTTACATATATATGTATATATGTGTATGTATTTGTCGAGAAAGTAATTTCGGTTTTTTAGGTGAAATAAAATTAAATTTTTTCTTTACGAAAATGGTTTTAATGAGTCAAATATATTTCCATTCGATGCAGTTATGCTATCCATCTTTCTGGGTACTTCATGATTCCACGCTGATTCCACATCTGATCTTTATCAGCAAAAAATGCAAACAAGTGCGAATTTGAGGTCATCATTAATACTGAAATTTTTGTCGCTTAAGAACTTTTGTAAACCTCGAAATAAATGATAATCCGAAGGCGCAAATCTGGGGCTATATAGGGGATGCCAAACTTTCCAGCCAAACTCCAATAACATGTACGTATTGCTAAAATACATATTACGTTGATAAAGTTTCTTACTGGTAGCCAAAGCTGTGTGAGGCGTCGCATTGTTGTGGTGGAATACGATTCATTTTCAGTTTCCCAGTTGTGGCATATTCTCTTTAAACTACTGAACTGATCATTTGGTTGCAGCTCAAATTACGCAACACTTAAGCTCACCAAACTAACAGCATGTTTTTTTCTGACGCAATTTGGCTTTCGGATTGATTCGTGCTGATTCATTATGCTTGAACTATGATCTTTTCTCGATTAATGTTATTGTAAACGATTTATTTTGCATTACCAGGGAAAATTCTATTCAAAAACTGTCCAGTACATTACATTTGAAATGCGTACCGCAAATACTGATTCATCAATTTAATTTCTTTCAATTCATGAGGATTGTAATTATCGAGCTTAATTTTGCATAGTTTTATGACAATTCTGTTTAATTGTGGTTTTAATTTTCCCATCATCAACTTCAGGCCAGAACGTCAAGTGCAAAATCTTTAAAAAGAACCTTTTTTAAACCAATCTTCAAGGGCAAAATCTTTAAAAAGAACCTTTTTAAACCAATTTTGACACATCTGTTTGTTTGACCATTTGTTAGGATGGTTAGTGGTAAGTTGTGATTACCTTTCATTCAGCAGGATGACTCTAGCGTTTTATAAATTATTCTATTACCACACTAAATATTTCCATATATTTATTTACATACAGTTCAGGAATATTTGTCACCTCACTCACATTCTCTCGACTCCCGATTTTCGATTACAATCGGTGCGCCCTCTGTCGGCGGCTTTTCTACAATGTCATCTATCGGCTGATTACACATCCGTATTGTTAAGCAATTAACAAGAATTTATTTGTGAGCCTCAGCCGATTTTTTGCCTTTACCATAAAAAAAGAGTTGTTGAAAATGTTTATTTTTGCCCCTCATGTTAAAACTGAACATAAATTGATAGTTGTAAACAAAATTACTCAGAATTTGTGAATATAACAGCTTAAAAGTGTGAGCTGCCAAATCTCAAACAAAATATACGTATATACATACAGGGATCTTCCCCTTAGACCAGTACTTTCGAGAACATTCTGGCATGTCATCTAATTACTAGTCTAAATCCACTGGTTTCGCCTTTTCGTCAGACTGCTTTCTCCTCCTGCTGCTATCAGACCTTTGCTGCCGCTTTCCCATCTGCCTGCCTTTATTCGAATAGTATGACGCAGTAAATTTAAAGTTAATCTTATTTAGTTTAAATCATTATTGAATATGTAATTCGGAGAATTTCGTCTAAAAGAAAAATGATCTGACAATTTGCATTGAATAAAGATATGGAGCTATATAGTTAAATTCTTATGTGCCTTCATTGCTGTGCCTGACTGCCAAATTATTACACACTCACACACACACACACATACATATATATATATATATATAAGTGTGGCAGAAGAATAACAAAAAGAAACATAACGCTTATTTATTTCTACAAACCGAAATTACATTCTTGCCAATCTTATATGTATATCAACATTCCGAGAGATAGCAGTTATATCTAAGATATAAAATATAATGAAAATGACTAATTTTAATTTAGCAATAATCTTTTAAGTCCTCTTTTTCTCTACCTCCTCATTCTTTCTTAAAAGTAGAATTTGCTTATAATATCATTGTCATAATATTTCTGGATTACGTCTTTCCGTTTCATGCTTTCTTATGTAATCCTCCTGCACTGCAGCATCTAGTACCCAATCGCAGTCCAAAATTATTAAGAAAATCAGGTATATAAACATCGATATTATTAACTACGCAGCAATTTTCCCTTGCTTCACCTTGCTGCTAGTGACGCATAGTTTGTTGCTCCAAGCTAAATAGAATTGTGGGATCCTTAGCGTATCCACAGTGATGATTTCTGAACCTATTTATGCTTTGCTACGAAACAAAACTAGGTTGAATTAATGGCCACCATTGCTAAAATTTTTCTTCTCTGTTAAATTATCTTATAATATAAATATACGCAGCTGTTTGATAATCCTAAAATTATCTATTGCATTATTACAAATATAATTATAGATACTCTTGCGCCAAATTAAAAGAATTCGCACATAATGTCAAATTTCTGAAAAACTAAAGAACAGATTTTAATAAAATTTGGTATAAATACGAATTTATAATAGAGAGATGTGCCATTCAAAAGTCATTTTATTTAAGCATGGTTATCAGTAAAGCTTATAGTTCAGGGATATACAAAATACACGTTGTAATATCGAGCTAAAAATGAGTCTAATATCGGGTGTGATCGCCTCTCACAGACAAGTCGCGCAGTGTGACGGCACATTAGGCAAAAAACAACTGAGGAGTCCCTGTGGTAGTCGATACCACTCCTCCAGCAAGGAAGTTTCCAATTCCGAGATGCTTCTCTGACGGGATGGTAAAATTAAATTGCCTTCCCAAGAGAGTTCCAGGCATGCTATGTAGGGTTAAGGTAAAGAATCGGCTAGTGAATATCCTCACTTTCCAGGTAAACATTGACTATCTGAGCTCAATGAAGACAAGCAGAAACCCAAGGCAAACTACTCCTTAAAAATTTCAAAAGAGCGCTTTAAGATCTCTTCTCTATACCTCATAGCAGTTAAGGAGCCTTTGTCAAATACATACAGGGCTATGCGGGCATTCAACATAATGCCTGTTCAAACCATTACATCCCCGCTACTGTAATACTCGTTTTCCAACTTGAGGGAGTGATTGTGTCCTGTTCCCTCTTCTCGCCAGATACAGATACGCCGGGGATCTGTGCTCAGGATGAATCTCGTATCATTTGTAAAAATCACGGTGCTTCACTAACGTCTGCTTCCGTGCGGATGTCTTCACCATGCTAAAAGCACTCTCTTGTGTACTGCAGAGATCGGAAGGCAAACAGCGGGTTCTCTGACATACAGCCCTATCTTTTGAAGTCGTCGGACAATTGTAAACCGTGAAACTCTGGTTTGAGTTGGAGCATACAGCTCACATAAGAGCCCTTGCTTCACCTTGCTGCATTTTCCCTTGCTTCACCTTGCTGCTCCAAGCTAAATAGAATTGTGGGATCCTTAGCGTATCCACAGTG